AGAGATACAATTTTTTTTTGAAAAAAAAATAGTGTATAAACACCAAAGTGGGACTATTTTTACCAAAATTTAAGGATAACATGTAATTAGTTGGTACTGTATTTGATGAGTATTGTGAGGGTGCTACCTCTTTCCTACACGTAACTGACTCTCGATCCAATTCTGATTTTCGTAGACCTCAAAATGTTGTTTTAATAAACTTTAAACTTGTTTTTAAATATTTTATTAAAACCACAAAATTTTTGGGTGGCCAATCGCATCTTAAAAAAGATTGATGGTAATTCTTTATTTTGATTTTTATTGAAAATGCTTTTTAGCTATGTTTTTCCATTTCCCAAATCCAATGGTTGTGTTTTCGAACCTATACATCACAACGCACATACAAAAAAGAAAGTGAAAATCTATCTAAGCTAAATATATGTAAACATACCCTTCTCTTAGTCTTGATAGCTACATGCACATATCATTGTTAATGAGATCTTTAATTTAATGGATACCAAAAGTATCAAAAGATATATATATATATATATACACTTGATAAAATATTAAGGATTTAATAAAAATTAATCAATCTTATTTTACTATTGAAACCGTGTTAATTAGCATGCATGAGCTTTGAAAGATAATTCATTATAATAGAAATTTCATATAAGTTTCCACTTTTAGGTACATACACAAAAAAATCAGGGATAATGTTAAGAATGATTAATGAACTATAATGAAATATTCAATATGATACCAAAACTTTAAAAATCTCTAATGTGGTACTTGAGCTATGAATTTATTAACTAATATGGTACTTGAAGAGTTAACTGTGCATCACGTATCATCATTTAAAGTTAGTTAAACTAAGGGTGAATACCATATTAGTTAACAAATTCATAGTTTAGGTACCTTATTAAAAATTTTTAAAATTCAGACAATATATTAAATATTTTGCTATAGTTTAGGGATCATTTGTAACATTAACCCAAAGAACTAGTATTTAGGGTTTTATGTCAAATTAATATAGCTCATGGCTATCTAAATGTATTTACTTATTTAGATTTCCTTGTTAAAATAATTTTTTTTAGGTAGCACCTTCATTTAGTTAATGTAAATAATTTCTTTAATTTTTTTTATCATTGATCCCTTAAAACATGAGATTTTAATGATAGCATATGTTTTAGAAAGTACATATATAAAGAAAAGATTAAAAAACTATTTATTATTTATTTGATTTAATTTATTAAAAATAATTTATTCTTTATTTATTTCTATGTAATGATAGGTTACCACAAATAAACACAAATATTAAATGTTTTTATCTTTGTTAGTATAAATTAGTTTAAATAAAAAATCATAGTATGAAATGTCATCATATTAATTTCAATATTTGCAACTATTACATGTTTTTTTAATAAATTAACATAAAAAAAAATAAAATACGAAGAGTTACCATATTTATCTATATATATATATATATATATAGATTTCGAACAATAAATATGCTCATTAATGATGTATATATATTATATATTAAGTTGTTAATTCAGTATTTATTTGAAGTAAAAAGTAAAATATGAAAGGTTGGAATATTAATTTTTATGTTAAGCTCATTAATGATGTGTGTGCATATATATATATATATATATTATATTAAGTTGTTAATTCAATATTTATTTGAAGTAAAAAGTAAAATATGAAAGGTTGGAATATTAATTTTTTATGTTTTTACATTTTAATAATAAATTATTTAAAAATAAATATTTAAAAAGACAAAAAATATCTAAATCAACTTTTCAAACTTTTGTAATCTTCTACCACCAAGGCAAATTAAAATGATAGAAAATAATTTTATAAAATATTATCATATTAATTTCAATCTTTTCAAAATCAATTTATTTTTAAAAGCTTTTCATATTCTACTAACAATTGAATTTAGGAAACATGACAAAGCTATGAAAAGTCATAAAAATATTATATTAATTTTAATAAAGGGATCAAATTGCATAAGCATAAAATTAATTTGTTTTACACCATTTTGTAACTTTATATATGATAAAAAAATTTTATAAATCGACCATTAGATTTAACAATCTATTTGTATGTATTGTTCACATAATATGTCAAGTCAATTCAATATTCTTATCATTTTGGTCAAGAATAATATCATTTCAATATATACTAATGATTAACATTTTATTATTATCGTAGAAATAGTTATATATTTTACATTGACTTGAAATTTGGCATGATTGTTTTATTTGAATACTACATAAAATTTAATGCTTGGATTATCAAATATAAATCATATAAAAAGATATGAGATGGTGTAAAACTAATTTAGTTTTACACATATCTAAGTTGATCCCTATTCATTTCGAGTTTTCATATTTCATTATTTAATGCTTTGAAAATAAATCTTTGAAAAAAAAGGAATATAAATCAACCTTATTTAAAAAAAGCTTTCATATTTTACAAATAATTTAAATTTAATTAATAATAGAGAGATGAAAAGTCACAAATCATTAGTATATTAATTTCAATTAATACATATTACATGAATTAATGATTAACAAATAAAGAATATAAAAATATTTTATTGATTTTTCAATTTTATTTCTTTTGCAAGTTTTATGATTTCATTGGTCTTTCATAATGATGTTTTTCTTTAGCTATTTTAATTTTTTTGGTTTATTTTTTAAAAATGTAGTTTTTTTATCTTAATTTTTATTTTAATAAAGAGAAATTTTTTAGAATTTAGAAAACTTATATATGTGTGTGTGCGCATGGACATACATACATATATATATATATTAATGCACATATATATTATTTAAATATTTTTAAAGAAAAAAGATTGATCATGCGAAGCAGAGTTAAAAAAACCTAATGATATGTAAAATTTATAATAGTCAATGTTACCCATTAAATATGTGAATTAAAAATTTGTTTTCTCTTAAAATTGAAATTATTTTATATTATAATTTTTTACATTTTTAAACTAATATTCATTATAACAAGTTTAAGATTGATTTTTGTGTTTTTGTATTTTTTTAATATTTGAATTTTTTATATATAAGATAGTTTTTTTATTTTTCTTTTATTATAAACTTCATTGATTAGCTTTAGTTTCTAATTCAAATGTTTTCTTTACATAATTTATATATAGAAATTAATTTATCTATCAGTAAATATATTTATTAATTTAATTATATTTTATTATAAAATAAATAAAATATTATTAATATTTTATAAATTATTATTTTTAAATAACATTAAAATCATTAACTTTTTTTAACTATTATAATATGCATAATTATTTCATTCTTTTAAATAAAATAATAATTTATTATTAATAACACCAAATACAATCATCAATTAATAAAGCGTCTTATTGTAGAAGCACAATTAGCAATGACTTGTGATATTTGTCGACTGTTTGTAATCATGTTTATCCTTGAAGCTCACATTTACAGGGCAGATAATCCGGAGGTTAAATCTGGTAAAGTATTGTGGGCATCTCGGCTTTCGCTCTGCCACTCGATCGCCAATTAAATAATTTGGGTTAATGTCCTGTTTTTTTTTTTTTTTTTTAATTATTATTAGTGTATTAGGGAGTGTCTTACATGCTCTTTTAAAGTTAATTAATAAATCATATTTAAGATGTAATTTATAATAATATTAATATATGAATATAATAATTGATGGTTAATGTGATCAATTTTAGGATTACAAAATATTGCTTCATATGATAATTATTAAAAATTACTCTAAAGATATTTGTTAACTAAGATTAAGTTTGGTTGATTTTTTATTATTTTTTAATAAAAAGTGAAAAACCAAAAATAAAAAATAAACTGAAACATTGAACAAAAAATATTTATACAAAAAAATAAAAGCACAAATCAAACAAAGTCAAATTTAAACAAAAAAAAAGATAGTACATTAATTATAAAATACTTTTATAAATTTTATCTTAACAAATGCTTATAAAACTCCTTTTAAAATTTCCTTATACATAATTAGCTTTACTCGCACCTAAATAATATTTCTAAGGCTATTGGTTTACACCTTAAATTAACTCCTTGACACTAAAAATACCAAATTTATGGATGCGAGTTGTCAAATGGTTTGCACAACAATCCAATTCCTTATAAATTATATAACATCATACTAAAAAAAGAGATTTCATTTGGCAATATATCTACTAATCAACCAATTTGAGGACAAATAAATATGATCAATGAAAATCAAGACTTAATTATAAGTCGATAGATTTCAATCAAGTAATTCTCTTATATATAGTAGTTTTGTTATATTAATCATTTTTATTGTTAAACTTTCAATACCAAATTGAGCAATAGTACCTCAATATATTTAATAGATGTCATCTAATAAATTTAAAATTTAAATTTCAACGAATTGTAAGTTTTTTAATCTCCTAACTGTAACCTTTTTATATAAAAACAAAATACAAGAGAAAATGCAACAGCAACGGTTGAAGCTTGGTTGTATTATAGATGAGAAAGACGACAAGAAGCAAGTGGCGAGATTCCTTATTATTTGCCATGTCTTTTGTCTTTTATTTATTTTATAAATGGACAACCAAGCAAAACCCTAATGCAACAAATTAGGCCAAACGGATATACAAACCTAATCCTTTAATATCAAGACATGTGGTGCGCAACGGGCAGCACCTAGGCCTCCAGCCTGCCCTCTTAATTTCCTTGACAAGTTTCCTACTTTCTTGAGGTAATAATGGTTTCAGAATCACCTTGATATCTTCTCTCTCTCTCTCTCTCTCTCTCTCTCTCTGCCCATTTTACTTATCAATAGTATTTCCTTGTTCTTGTCTTCCATCCTCCTTCCTTTATTGGCTGCATTTCTTTTTCCTAATTGCCCACAAAAAGAGGAAACATTTCTTTTCCTACTTTCTTAATTCTATAAAACGAAGAAAGAATTTGCACCAAACAAACAAATAACCCCATTATGAAAAAAATATATTTTTTCTCTTTCAATTCTTCATATTTTCACACTTCTAGGAGTTGGGAAATGATGGCTTGTGCTAGTTTGATAGGAATTTTTGACACCCGACTGCACACGCATTACATTTCAGCATCCGAGGAACAGAGTTACTAACAATCAACAATCCCAAAAAAGTAAAACAAATACATGCATTTGCACAAAGAAGAGTAAAGAAAGCAATATTGGAACCTGGCTCCAAGAAAACGGCTACTAAAAAAGCAAGAAAAACAGTTGAGATATGTGATTTGAGTTTGGAAACTTTTTCATTGAGAATCTGTAGCAGGATTTTCATCTCCACTATCACTGCCTTGGGTTTGGTTTTCTTGATGCTGTTGCTCCGAATTCATTCCCAAACCAAATCTATTATTGTCGCTGTAAAGATTAATTCCACTGCCCAGTAACCCCATATTAGTTTCTGTCACTCCTAAACCAAGCTGCTGACCGCCGGTTTGTTGCTGTTGCAATATCATTGAACCAAGCTGAACCGGATTCACCCGACCCCCACCCGAATAATGAGCTGGAAACGTCCACATCTGGGCTTCTGGCGTAGTGGTTGATGCCATGGTACCACCACCTACCGGCAGCATCCAAAATGCATTACCTCCATTGGTGGTGGCCGGTGCAACTGCCCACATAGCTGGAGCCGGCACCAAGTTGGCTGCTCGAAACGAACCGGGTTCTTGGTCTTGCATTCCGGTTCTCTCCGGTTTAGGAGAATTTGCATCTAGACCACCCGTTTCAGCGTTGTGTTGAGATGTTTCCTTGAAAAGATCTTCTCTGAATGGCTTTGTGGTGTAATTCTCGTTAGGATTACTACTTCTCATGGGAGCATCAGGGTTCAGGATTTGAGGGTACAGCTGATGATGAAACCCTAACATGGCAGCGCCAGCAGTATTGTTGCTAAGTCTTCTACTTTCATCTCCATTACTGTTGTAAAAACCTAAAGCACTGTGGAAGGAGAGAGGTGCAGGTTTTGATGAAGGAACTGAAATAGAGGAGCCACTGCTGCGAAGTGAAACGTTAAGAGTAGAGAAATTGGCCGGGATGGTGCCAGTTCCTGTGGCAGCTATGATGGCCGGCTCTGCCTGTTGAAGTAGCCATTCAATGGTTTCACCATCAGATTTATGGCCTAATTCTCTGGTTAGTTGGAAGACTCTGGCCGCGCAGAAGGCCGGCATGCGGATGCGGCGGCCGCGACCTTCGACCTTAGTGTGGCGGTCTTTGGTGGGTCTTTTGGCAGCAGGTTTAGGAATGGAAGAAGTGGAGGTTGGGGAAGAAGAGTGAACCCCAATTTGGTTGGAAATGGAGCCCATGAATGGGACATGGGCTGGGGCCTGAACCTGATTAGAGGAGGTCCCATGTGCGCCACCAGCAGCTACAAGTGATTGACTATCAGAAGAGACTAGTTGCAGTGAAGCTTCTTGTTTTTGGCCATGGTGATGGTGGTCACTGCTACTGTTGCTTTTATTGCTCTGTGACTCCATTATTTCTAACTAGGGTTTCCAAAAGATTTCTTGTCTATCAAATTAAACCATCGCAAAAATGAAAACCACACCCTCCTTTTTTTGTTTTTTTAGTTCATATATATATATTATATATTCTTTTATTTTTGTTTTCCTCACCGTAAAATAAGAAGAAAGAAAATTACAAAAGGCTTGAGAGGTTTTGTTTTTTGGTTGGCCAAAGGTTTATCATGAGTTGTGATCCGAACAACACCACCACTGTTAGTGCGTGGGGATCTTCTTTTCTTCCTTGTGATTGACTGATGTCCTTTGAGAGAGGAGTAGGTGAGAGAAGAACCGACAAAAACAAAGCAAAGCCTAAGAGAATCAGTTAACTTTGTAGCAGTACCCCACTCGTGGGGGCCTCGGCCAAATGGCAAATGCCAATGCCAAAGAATATTGATAAAAACTTGGATCAATACACCAATGAATAACTATAACTCTCAGTGGCATCCAACTATAAATATATATATTATCGTTCACTCTAATTTAAAAGTCTCATCATTTTATCTAAAAAATGCATTATAAATATTGATTTAAGATTTTAAATATAAAATTACTATTTAATGTAATGACAATCAACCATGCGATAATAACTCATTAACAAAGAAAAAAATAGTTACATCTATAAAAATAACTATAGATAAATTATATTATAATCTTACTTATAATTATTTTTAAAATTTTAATTATTTTTTGTTTTACAATTTTTAAAAATTTAATTACTTTTTGTTTTAAACATTATAAAATATTGTCATATAATTAATTGATAATATATAATACTTATGTTTATAAATATTAACTATTAAATATATTATAACTAACCTTCGTAAATTTTACACTATAATTTGAGACATTCCAATAACGTTGAAATTTCTTTGTCCGAATTACATTTTTAAAAAATTTGTGTTGCAGTACATGTTGTGATTGGACTTTTGGGTGTGAAATGTTGAAAACTTGAGAAGGGATGGCCTTTTTCTTGAGTCTCTCTTTTTTTTTTTTTACTGATTGAATTGTGGTTGATAATGACGACATGATACGCTAATGATCAAGTCTAAATATAAATCATGCATATATCTTTTTAGCCCTGTTCCTGCCCCGATAAGTTTCTTTTGTTTTTTTTTTGGGTGACAGAAGTAACTGGCAATAAGAGACAGTCCTTAAAAGCCAATTCTGTGTACAATTTAGATTAGGTCCCAGAGTCCTTTGCCCCTCACATTTATGCAACTTTTTGCAGTAAAACTGTAAAAAAAAAAAAAATTCAATCGTGGCATTGAATGAAAGAATGAAATGACAGAAAAGACAACCCTTAAATACTCTATTGCTACAAAATTCACCCCCAGGGTCCCCTACCTGCTGCTGCCTTACGTACCTCTGCCCCACTTTGTCGCGCCCTTTTCTTTTTTCTTCTTATTGTCTTAACTGTCCATCCATACGTCTTGTCGTTTATAGGAACTTACTCGTGAGTCAATCTAGTCAACACTCAAGTTTTAGTGCCTTCTAATATTTTTTTTCCCTAGTTTAGCATTCAGCAGGAGCTTATTAATCAAAGGGTAACTTTTAATTCTAAGGATCTATATTTATTTTTTAAAAAATAGTTCTTTGAGTTTTGAATTCAAGATTGATGGGTTGAATTTTTTTTCCATGTTTGAGATTTCAATTTAAAATTTATAAATTCAAATCTTTGAATGAAATATATATTATTATATAAAAGTAAATTTTATTGCATCATTCAAATTTTTTATGTAATTTAAAAAAGGAAATGAATAGAGCGATTCACTTGATTTAATTTAAAAAAAAAACTAAAAAATTTCACTATCCAATTATTTCACACATTTAATTCATTATATCTATTTTTATTTGATAAAAAAGATTTCAAATATCTATCATCCAATTAAATATTTGGATGCTCATGATATGTATCTTTAAACACAAAAACATGAACTAAAAGCGTTTCAATGTATATTTTTGTACCTAAAAGAAGGTATAAAAATGGAAGAAAGGAAATGAAACATTTTCCTCAGTTCCAAACCATGACCATTTCCCTTGTATTTCTGCAATAAACAAGAATACTACTACTAGGTAAAATTTGAGGGAGGGGTGTAAGCTTAAAAACTTGATTTGAATTTAATTAAATTTTAATTGTTAAATTTGAATTTGATTCTAGAAAATTGATTCTTATATTCATTTCAAACTAAATTTTTGTATTCAAACTTTAGTTTGAATTATATATAAAAGTAAAATAATAATTTTTAGTTAAAATAATAAAAATATATATTAAAATATATAATTTTAATTAAATATATAAATTATTTAAATTAAATATTAAAATATTTGAATTTAACTCATTTAATAAATTAAATTATTTAAATTCAATAATATTTGAATTGAATCAGTTTAAATTTTATTTTAATTAAATTTAAATAATTTATAAATATTGGTGTATCATTTACGTTATAGAACCTTACTAGAGGGTAAAAATTGTGAGGGGTGAGCAGGAAGTCTATGGTTGATAGCAAGTACGGTGTACATTCAAGGCACAGCCCAAACAGCTCAACAATGCATCTAATGGAGTAAGACAGCTCATCCCAACCCAAAGCCCCACTACCCCTTTTTTTTCTTTTAATTTCTTTATTACTTTTTTTTTGTCATTTTTTTCTAAGAAGATTTAAATAATTTTATATTTGATATATTATCAATAAATAAAATTTATATATTATTAATTAATTAAATGATATTATTTTATTAATAAATAAATTTTTTAAAAATATTAATTTTTATATATTTATTTTAAAAATTAATATTTATTTATTAATGAGATAACATTATTTGATTTATTGATAATATATAAAATTTATATATTAATAATATATCAAATATAAATTTTTTTAAATATTATATAATATCGCAATTACCTACCACCTTTCCCAACTCTTTTTTTTACTCTTAGGAATATAATTAATGTTATTAAAGAATTCACTTAAGCTTAGTTTAGTATGGTTGTTGAAATAAACTTTATGTTTAAAAACTGAGTTTTTATCAAATCACATTGTTAAACAATAAAAAAAATACAAAATTTTTTGCCTAAAAGCATGATTTTCAAGTTCAAACAAAAAATTTATTAAAAGATATTTCTTGCGTAAAAAAATATATTTAAAGTAGAAAATTATTATATTATTAATAATTTTAAATATTTTATTATTCTATGCAGTTTTTATATTCTGTAATTACTCATATTAATTTTTTATAATAATATCATATACTTAAAATTTTTAATCATATTTTTTAAATGCATAATTATTAATTTAAAATTTTTTTTCAATGCAACAATAATGTTAAATTACATAAATTAAAAAAATTCAAAACCCTCGGTCATATATTGATAATCATGTCCATCTAATATTATTAATTTAGGATATGGATGGAAAAAAAATGAGAGTATATCCATGTGCATTGTTCCACACACTCAACTTTTGGTTAATTTTATTCTGCTTTTTATTCATTTTAAATAACATTAGATATGACATAGAGCAAGATTATAAGTTAAAGGTCATATTTGACGTATAAGATAATGAATAAAATAAAATGATAATAATTTTATATTATATTTAATTTATATTTTAAAAAATATAATTATAATAAAAATTATCATCTTCTTATCTCAAAAATAAAAAAAATTATTTTTAATTTATAAGATTAAATTTATATATTTTATTATATTCTTAAAAATTATATAAATAATTTAAATTATATAAAATTTTAAAAAATAATATTAATTAATAAATAAATTTTATTCTAATTTTTATAAATATTAAACATAAAATAAAATAGTATCACTTAATTTAATCTTATTTATAATACTATTTTATTTTATTTTATTCTATCCTAATTTTGAGTGAAAAGTGTTGCTTAAAGCTTTGTTCAGAGCGATTTTGCAAAGGACAAAAAAAAAAAAAAAAAAAAAGCGCTGTTGGGAGCCTCATCATAATCATGGCTGGACTTGTATCCGCCCTTTTGCAAATTTAAGCTATTGGTCAATGATAGTATCATCCATGGTATTCATTAAAATTTAAATTTAACTAGAACTTGATCTCACTAGACCGACAGTTTCTATATTTTTTTTATTTTTAATATCTTTATTATTGTTTTAATATAAAATAATAAAAATAATACACATAAAATATTAAAAAAAATTATGTTTTTTTAAAATTAAATATATTATTTTATATGTTGTGCTTGTTGTTTTTGTTATTAACTTTTATCATATTAAAACTATTATAAATTTTTTAATTATTTGATCAATTATATTATCAATTTAATTTGTTATAAATTATAATTTTTTGTGAAAACGACAAAAAATAAGAACAATACAAAAATTATAAAAATAATATATTTATTATTATATTTTTTAAGATTTTAATATTTCATTTATTATAAATATAAATGAAAATTTATATTTAAAATTTTTTCTTGCTATTAGATACTTTAATGAAGAATTGTCCCTACTTAATGATAAATCTTTTAACATTATATAATAGTTATCCATAATAGTTATCCCCAGCTTGCCAATTCCTTAATTTGCGATGCAGATCATTAATGTAAATAAAAATAATCAGAAGGGAAATTGAGAAATGTAAAGTGTAAATTAGGTCTTCAGACAGTCTAGAAGCTTCTAGGATACACCATGCTCTTTTTCCTTTCTTCTTTTTTCTCTGTAATTTTTTTTTTTTTCACAATCTGTAACAATTCTCTCCATTTCTAATATGGGTTTTGTTTCTTTTCTGGAGGGAACTGTTCAGCTGGCGGGAATGAACCTACTTTCTCATCTCTAACAATTCTGTTTTCATTTCCTTTTTGTTTCAATTATATTTTCTGTAAAACCTCAAAAAAGGGTGTAAAAATCTAAAATTTTGGAAGCTTAAATTGATGGCAAAACCACCGGGGAACCATCAACAAGAAGCGAATCACGCGTCATCTTCTTTCAATGGAGCACACTTGAACCACGAGAATCCTATGCCCAAGAGTTTGGGTTCGAGTATGAGGCA